CTCCAATCCAATGAAGCAAAAGTTGAAGGCTTCTTAAGGAGATGAGTTTATAGCAGGAGTAGAGAGCCTGAAGATTCTTAGTGTTGGCCTCCAGACCTGGTCACACCAAATTACTGGCCATGCTGTCTGTGGCTGATGATAATTGCAGTCTAACAATATTGGGAGTGCCACAGGTTTGTCACCCCCAATTTGTAGAATGACATACATGTCCTCAGCATCTCCTCCCCCCCCCCGTCCCCAATTAAGTATGCTAGAAGAGTTGCCCTCTAGCATTAAAACAAAACAAAATGAAAAAGCAAGGTTAGGTTACAACTCAATTGCCTTTGCTTATCTAAGAAGTGCATATTTTAACGCATTCATTAAAATCATTGGCTACAAACCAATAAATAATTGTTGGGTGAACTCTATTGGTTTTTGCAAATGTGGGTTGGTACAGGATTGGATATAATACATAATATTCCAGTGTTAAAGCAGGTTTGTTTATAACTTAGTCATCAGGTCCCACCTTCCAGAATGAGATCTGGCTATGTTTCAAAATAATACCATAATTACTACAGAATTATGCACCCTAAAGTCTCACTGAAATAAGTAGAGTGTCTATGCTGTGTATTAATAAATTGTGGCATCATGCTTCACACATTTCAAGTTTCTTTGGAAATAGTACTATTTGAGAAAGTATCAGTCCCACTCTGATAATTGGTTAGAAACCTTTTTTAATATTCACTCCTTCCATTATATTGTATAGAATATATCTTTGATCTCTTTCTGGGTTTAGAATACTGTCATGCCAATCAAATCCTGGAAACACTGCCCAAGTTTGTTGGACCAGAGGGATGAAAGAGGCCACAATGGCAGACACAAAGATGACTGGAATTACTTGGCTTACGTACTAAGACAAACTGCACATCCACTGGCACTATTGCATTTTAGCCATTACCTGGTGCTTTGTTTTTCTGAAAAATTGCTATCATCTTCATCATCATCTGCCCCCCAAAAAAGGAAAAATTCCACAAAAATGTCCACGTCCAACAATGAGCTGAACCTACTGATTTTCTTCCTTTAAAACCCCAAAAGTATCTCACAATGTTTTTGTTGAAGAAGAAACAATATTTTTGTTGAATTGATCATAATTTTAAAGCTCTGTTGCCTTATCACACTTTGAACATCAGAAGGTGACATTTTGTTTCTAATGTTTTGTTTGTGCATTAGCATGTCTTCGTGGTTTGTCTGTCACTCATTGCTCAAGTGCTCCTATTTGTGGGCTCTTACACAATTTGTATTATTTTACTGTATGTGCTCCTATAAAATATAATTGTCAGGAAATCTAGATGACAGCAGCTTAGAGCACCAAGATCACCATCATGCATATAGATTTCTCTGTAGAGATCACTGGATACCTTAAGCAGAAAGATGGATTACTACAGAGAAAGTTGGCCATAAATGATATTGCTACATTCAACTCAAGTGAGTTATGTTCTGTTGGGAGGGGAAATGAGGAAAGAGAGTTTTTAAATGTCAGTAGTTAGTCTTGCCCGGGAGGAAAAACCCCCTAAACAAAAACACTAGAGTTTCCAGACTTAAGTGAAACTTATCTATCCTGGAAAAACCCTAAGCAAAATTCATTTATCTGATCTTCAGTGCATAACCTGAAGGGAAATTCCTTTCTAATCAGATGAATGGTGATCAGATGATCTTGACAAAGTTCCATCTGTCTAGTCTTCCTTTATCTGTATTGCAACAAAGAGCAAAGACGTGAGATGGCAATGCAAAATCCACATTGGGACAAAGCACCCTTTGGTCTCAAGGTTAATGTAGCCATTAAACTTTGCTAGGTCTTGCATTATTATTGATCTTGGCCTCAAATTTGCCTTGACTAAGAAGATGAGCATTCCTGGAGGCCCAACACATCTAGCTACAGGAACCATTCATAGATGCTCTCATTGGTGAGAAATGATTAAAAGATTTCATTGGAAGGATCCAGTCTCTCCACCTGGAGAACCAGAAATGTATCAATATTGCTAATGCAGTTCCTATTTGCATTAATTTGTGAATAATTAGTTTCAAGCATGTGAAACTTCCTTAAAATTAGGCTATTTGTTATATTCTGAACAGACAGCAGAAACAGCTTAAGAAACAGCTTTTTTACCACATCACCACGTAAGATCAGGCTCAACTCCTGATGAGCTCATGGACTCTCTGTGTTCTTCCTTTAGCAACAAAACAAAAGTAATTTGGAATTTATTCATTTCATGATTTTTTTAAAACCCTCCCACTCTACTTTCCAATCACAGGTTTTCTTGAACAACTCTGACCCTGTTTAGAATTTCAAGATTAGCTAAAGTCACCTAGTAATTCCCTCCTAATCCCCCTAACCTGAAGATGCTATGCAGTTTTCCCTAATCTATGCTTTCCAATTGTACTGGACTAACAGTTATGCTAGTTATAATCCTAACACAATGGGAAGACTAGGGAAAAAGATTGGGGAAAACAATGCTAGGGGTCTGAATGGGGAACTTCCTTGTGCAAACAGGACCTCTAACATTGAACTATGTCCCTTCTCCAAGGGAACAACTTTGTGATGAGAATAGCTTGTGGGAACATCCTTGAAAGTGAAGGAAAATGCTTTCTGCAGCACTTTCTTCTGCTCAAGTGTTGGTTATGACACATTTTATAAAATCCACAAAATGATATTATTGTTACCCTCATTATTACAGTGAAGGGTGTAATCATCATGGTGGATGGTGACTGGGCATGCAGGGTTGGGGGAGAACAAGGAAAGTGGCACATCAACAATTCTCTTTCCAATGCCAAGCATTGCAGAAACTGGCCCACATCTCTGGATTTGGCAACTCTGATTCACACACAATATCTGACCTCTGATTTGTTTCACTTCAAGTTTGCTCTGGAATTGTGTTTTATGAACCAGTTTGTTTATATCCTGCCTTTTCTCTGAGAATTCAAGGAAGGAAGTGTCCCTAACTATATCTCCACAACTACCACCTTGTGAGATATATTAGGGTGGCAATGCGTGTGACTGGCCCGATTATCCAATAGGTTTTACGGTTGAGTGCAAACTTCATTCTGGATTTCTCTGATCCGAATCAAACACCATAAGCACTATACTATACTGCCCTGGGTCTTTATAACAGTAATACAAATCAGTGTTACAAGTACAAATCACCATTATAATTGGCAGACTATGTTTTATGGTTTGGTATATTGTCCAAACACATTATATTTAATCAAGGAACAAGTAGCTAAAACAAATTGTATCTTATGTAAATTAAGTCAGAATTAGGCATGAGTTAAGATAATTGAAAGCTACCAGTTCAGGTATAATGAATGGATTTTATGCATGTCAAAAAAAAAAACACACACACACATCTGGCTCAAAAATGCCTTGAGTTGGAATTTATATTTCCAAAATTGGAAGGGAAAGGAGTTGGGAAGTCCTTGAGGCAACTGAATGGTGCCTCTGCACTTGACAGAAACTATTTTGCATTGTTCCCACATTCAGTTTTAAGGTAATAACTGAGTGTGCAGATGTAGCTTGAACATTGGTTGCATTCATCTCCAATGCCTTTTCATCCATTTGTTAATACCATCATCTTGTAGTTCAAAAACTTGTACCATATTTTATCAACATTGAGTCAGCTTAAATCAATACAGGTTTTGAGGCCATAGGAAATAATTCCTTAATGAATGGAACTCTGTCATTTTAAATTGTACTCAAGGAAGCCTCAATGAATGTAATTCTTTTATCCTTCCATTGAAATGCTGATTTTTCTGAACCCCAAGGTTTGTGCAGAGTTATCCTTTTATTTATAGTACAAATATTTACACTGATCAGAAGGAAAAGATAAAGGGATCTAAGGGGAAAAAACTGGATTTTTCCTATGGTGGAAACAACACTGAGAACAAATCAATTCACCCAGTTCCATCTCGTTCCATAAAATAGACAGATGTGTGAACCAGGCTAATTTTCAACCTCTCTACTTCCCCCAATGTCTCTATTATTGGACTAGGCTGTCCAATAATTCAGCCAAAAATATATGGGGTGATCTTGAGGCAATCCTCTTGGCCAGGATTGGTCCCCTCTCTCCAAAGCCATTTGTGATGATCAAATCCAGAAGAGAAGCAGCTACAGATGCACCTGGAGTCCTTCGAGAAAGAAGTAATATAGAATTCCTACATCTCCTCCCTCATTTATTAAGTAATAAATTACCATTTCTAGAAAATTCCAGGCTTCTACACTCCTACAGCAATGGCTCCTCCTAACTCCAAGTAGTTTATATGCGGTGGGAAGGGGGCTGGTGCAGTTCGCAAGGAAGATGAGCTAAACTTCAGGATGAGGAGGTGTGGAGAAAAGCTCTGTACAAAACCATTTCCAATGACCTCAGGGCCACGGGCCAAAGGAAGTCACTCTGTCACTCTCCATGTGCACATACATACACACACACTCCCAGAGGTTCCTGCTGTCTCGAAGGCCACTAAATGAGCTTGACAGCTCTTTAAGGCAAGGCAGCCAGGAAGGTGGAAGCTAATCATGGCTCTGTTTGATAAACTCATAAGCAAGCAAGAGGCGAGGGGGCAGATCCACGAAGTGTGGATGTGAAGAAAATTGGCCCCAGCCAAATCTCCTCTGAGCCAGGCCGGGCGGCTGTTTACAGTCCCGATGGCCTTTTGAAGCCGCCCTCCATAAAGCCGGGCAATCTGCGCCGCTGAGACCGAGCGGCAAAGGATATGACGGGGCCTGTAAATCGCTTACCACAGAGCGACCTGAGCCCTCGGCAGACACATTGGAGCCAGCCCCGGCCGGCCTTTGGAAAATGTGTGAACAGCCTCTTTTGTCGGGGGGGCCCGATGATAATTAGACGGCGCTTATCTGCCCTTTGATGTCTGTTTACACCAGCGGCGCTGGGCTTGGGGCCGCGGCTCATAAGGGAAGGGACGGGGGCGGGCGCGCCCAGCGTGAGGAGGCAGCCCGAAGCCACCGCGCCATGACCAAGGCTCCCTTCTCAGTAGAATGGCTTTCCCAGAGCAGCCAGGCCAGCACGCACGCCCAGAGCACGCCAGAAGCCAAAGAGGCCGCCCCGTCCGAGGCCGGCCAGGCCCAGCAGGGCAATTCTCCGGCCAGGGAGAAGAGCCCGAGCGAGGGCAAGCTGGTCCCCCGGGCGCAGGAGCCGCCTCCGGAGCCTCTCCCTCCGCTCCAGAAGAACAGGCCTCCCTTGCCTTCGTCGTCCACAGGTACTTCCCCATTGGGCTAGTCGGGGTTCTTGCCCAAATGCAGGTCGCGCGTGGGGTTTCCCGCTGGATCCTTCGCGGGCAAGGATCGGACTATAACGGGGAAGGAGCCCCGGGAATGGACCGTGGGCGGCACTGGGAGCCCGAGACGGACGGCGCGCAGGGCTGGCTCAGACCTGGGCCCCGGTTGTTGTGTTTTGAATCAGGCGGTAGGCCCAGAATGCGATGCAGCGAGCGGCGGTTGGGTGCTCCCGCTCAAAAGCGGCTCCCTCAGCGTGGTGCCCTCCGGAAGTAGCGGGGGGGGGGCGCTTCCATTACTCCCAGGGCCATGGGATGCCAGTCCAGAGTACGGTGGGAGCCCCAAGTTGGAGCCGCCCGGTTGGCGAGGCGGAACAGTCGTGTTTTAAGCAACCAAGGGAGGCGAGTGATGCGAGCCTCGCCTTCTTCCAGGGAGGGCGAGCGAACCCGCTCTCTCGTTGCTTCTTTGCGTAACGGCTGAGGGCCTGTGGCAGATTAAATCAGTGGCCTCTACTTCGGAAATTCTGCTAGCTGCTTCCCGACGCGTAGAAAGAAAACTGAGTAAATTGTGTTGCCTTATCTTGTGCTGATCTGAACAAAATTAAGCCCCGCCGAGCTCATGGAAATTTCCTCCCATGTAGGCTTGCTACAGTGCAGCCTGAATGGGAGAGGAGTGAAGCAGGAGGCTGGGAGTCTCTGGGCTTTCGGAGATAGGACTGGGCAAGGTGAAGATTCCTTTTGTTTTTATTCCTATAATTCACCTCAAAGGAAGTAGTTCGCTTACTCCCCACCCCAAGATAATTGTTAACAAATCTGAGTAAGTTCTAAATTGTAAGAGGGAGTTGGCCTTACTTGGGTCCCAGAACTCTACGTATCCATTTTTCTCAATATGTAAACGTTTCTGAAACGAGCTATTCCAAACTTCCTCAGCCAGGTGCGCCCCAGATTTGTGGGACTATCATTTCAATTTTTCTTGGTTAAGCATCGTCCGTCATTGGCCGTGCTGGGTGGGGATGCAGCGTTGCAACCTAACCCCTCTGGGCGATAGATTGGGGAACTCAGCCACTCTTTCCTGGGGAAGGAAAAACGGCAAGCGTTTGCCTCTCTGACCCGGAGCCTTACCTGTTTTTCTTGCGAACCATTAGCTGCTTCCAAAAGGGCGTGGAGCACTACGGAGTGTGGGTCCGACGGCGAAGGAAGCTTCTCCGAGTGCCAGACCCCAGAGGACGGCGGAGGCCGAAACGCGAATAGCCGCCGTTTGCGCACCGCTTTCAGCTTGGAACAGATCAGCACCCTGGAGAGCTCCTTCAAACGGCACAAGTACTTGGGAGCCGCGGAAAGACGCAAACTGGCCAGCAAAATGCAACTCTCTGAAGTACAGGTAATGCGAGAAGCCGGTGGAAAGTCTGCAGAGAAGGCCTTCCATTTCCAAGATGTAAGAAAGGAGACCTTTCCATCAGCATTTCTCAACCTTGGCAGCTTGAAGATGTGTGGACTTCAGCTCCCCGAATTCCCCAGCCAGGAATTCTGGGA